CAAAGACGAAGAGCACACCATGACGATCCACTTTTGGTACTTTTCAATACCGCATTCAGCAGATTCGAAAGGGGGACAAAAAGAGAGTGACCTTGGTAGCGTGTTTCCTGTCCGTGCGCGACGTATACAAACGCGCAGGAAACTCCAGCAGTAGAAACTTTCGCAACCTGGACGATGTTACACGACAGAAACCGCCGCAATCTCGAAATTAAGCCCTAATTTGCTTCTTAGATAACAGGGCCATCTTTGTCACGCTTGTCTATTTTTATCGCGTTGTTTCTTTTTGTTGCCTTTTTTTTTTTATTGTTTTTATGGCTCGTGCCTGCCCAAGGTAAGCTACTCTATACTGTGCGGCTACACAAGGTCCGAAGGTGTTTTTGTTTGCACATTAAACGTAACAACTTTTTTTTTTTCTTTTTCTCAAGTTTTACTATGGGTCTTTGTGTAGATCTAATGTTGGAACGGTTGCGTATAAACACTTGCACGAGGTGAAAGTCATTCGCGAGCTAATTAAAAGAGGTTTATTTGTAAAACATTAATACGGCAGAAAGTAGTTCTTGAGAGCGAGTTGGCGCGGAGCCGTGCGGCATAAAACGCAAGATGAAAAACAAAATAAAACCTAACACCAAGGAACACGACACTTGGAGGAGAAATAGGTTTTTTTCGTATATACGCTTTTACGCTGTTGTACACGTTCCTCCGAAACAGAAGCGAACGTTCGTTCCCCGGTCTTTCTCCATCTTGGAACGAGTTCCCGTTACATTCCTAGCCTTGAAGGCAGACATGAGCACGTTTCCCCAGAAAGCAACTAAATACCATTCCTCGTTACCCGGCCAAAAAAAGTAAGTAAATACCGTTTTTCGTTACCCATTCTCAAAAGGAACGCGTCACTTTATCTCAAAAGTAGCCAGTTACTTTTCTCGTTACTTTGACGACCAAATACACAACCAATTGTTTTCTTTCTTTTTTTGACAATCGTTGCATTTCAGTAGTAGCTGCCTTTCGAAGTTTTCGTCGGTTATGTTATAGTCTAAAGCGGTACCTTCTGTCATGCCACGGTGAGTAAATACTTTTAGATTCTATTTTCATTGCGTATGAGTTGCATTACCTGGTTCATTTATTTCCATAGTGTTAAGAAGTGCCCTAACGATTGTATCAGCTCTGTACACAAAATGCTGGGTTGATTGTTGTTGATGAGCTATTGTATTTTCATGTACATCTTTAATGTTTATTGTTTTTGTTTTCACCTTCTGAGCAGTGTAAACGGGTGATAGAGCCACGTCAGGCAGAATTCATCTGCCTTTTGCACTGTTACCCTAGACCATAGAGGCTATGCCTAGACCTAGTGTCTAAATAAAACCAATGCAATTCAATTTCATGTTTCCCCGCTTCAGTGAGAATACATCTCCGGCGTTCTCCTGACGCGCTCGAGTACTTACATGTCTGCTTCGAACGTGCCGTTAGATCAACGTTACGTTTGCGCATATTCATTATAGATGTTCTGCTAGATGATTCGCAAATAAAATAATAAAAAAAAAACAGCGAATGGAAATATTTGCAAGGAACAACGTGTCGTAACGTCACGACCCCGTTTATTCCAGTTCTTTGTTTTGGAGTATATATCTCTCAGAAACTTTCCCATCTTTGAAGACGAAAAATATATAATAGATCATTAACAAAAAGAAACGAATTCCTTATTAATTTTGGGTAAAATTACAAATATATAGACAAAAAAATAACGCCTCTTTCTTCGTTGGTTCCTCTAAGACGTAATAAACGGCGGCGTTCCTCATAAGAGGAACGCGTTCCAGAAACGTCGTTTCTTGGAACGCTTTTCCGTACAACACTAAGCGATAAGCAGAGCGCGCATGTAAGACGTACACGGTACAGGGTTGCGGCCACAAGAGCGTTTGGCACACCTTACAAATCTCGAATTCCAAACTGCATATACCTGACATTGGGCACGCAAACGTTATTTCGAAGGTGTGACTATTTTTTTTTTCTTCTTCTTCTTTTAGAGCTCAAGGCAGTGAACGAGCAGGATGATCGCGATAAATAATGATTTCAACAAAATATATTGACACTGACACAACATTACTTCACACTTAGAAAAAAAAACTATTTCTGTTTTCATAAAAACAGATTCTGGGAGATGTTGAATACTTCCACCTATAGGCAGTGACGGGCTAAGAATACTCTATATACGCTTAGAGTGATCGACACGCCACGGATTTCCGGATTATGAGACGGCTGCCGCCATTTTGGCGCCTACAGTGCAGAAACGGGTGCGTTTGGCGGTATATAGTCACCGATTCAAAAAATCGCTCCTTGTCGAGCCTAAAATACGGCGTCGGAAAGCTTAGGCAATATCCGTTTCAGTGCGTCGCGGACCATGCGGCGAGCAAGTCGAGCTGCTTCTCGCGCAAAAGTTCCGTTGACGTCGCAAAGACGCCGAGTTCTGACTTCTGACTGGCTTTGATTGAAAGGATAGTGGGTAGACCTGAATGTTAAATGCCTCCAGGTCTACCCACTATTTTTTTTTTCCTTTTTCATTTAGCCAATCAGAGCTTGGGTTTTGACATCTACGCAACCTTTGCGCAAGAAGCAGGCGAACTTGCGCTCGGCATATATTCTTGAACGTTCCCGGGCGATGGAAAAGCGTTCTGCCCAATTTCAGATTAAGTTTCCGATAACTGGCAACAGCGATCATTTTAAGCGCCGAGACGGCTCCAGTGTCGGTATATAGTCGCGAGCCACTCCCACTCCTCCGATCCAACCTCCTTGGTAGCCAGGGGACCTCTTAATTTTAGGATCGCGCCACTGCAGTCCATCTACGTCGTGGTATAACGCGCGGTTGCAACGAGTAAAGGGGTGTCCAAACAGGACACTACAAAACGCACGACTCCGACAAATCGTGAAAATTGAAGCGGGCTTGAAGCGGGCGCGTCCGCTTCAATTTTCACGATTTGTCGGAGTCGTGCGTTTTGTAGTGTCCTGTTTGGACACCCCTTAAGACGTACTCCCTTGCTACCGTTTTCGTTTCTTTCGGGTTTTCTCTACTTCGCCCTCAAGAATTATGCCACGATTTTCACGCTCACGGCCGCTCTACTCCTTCTCACTCTAGTAACTCGGCAGAGGGCGACGGCTGCGGTTCCAGTGAGCCAATCGGCGCGTCCGAAGGAGACACGTGACTATGCCGGACCCTTTGGTAAGGGTCTGTCGGACGCTTCGCCCCCGGCGCTCCGATTGGCTCGAATTGGGGCCGTAACGTTCGCCCCTTTGCCGAGTTTGGGGTGAAACGAAGTATAAAAGCGGCGCACGCTCTGGGGGCGGACGTAAACACTTAAACGAAGGATGCGCGCTGTACAGCCTGCCTGCAGCACGGGCGACTTGCCCAACCCACCCACCGAGAAAGACTCACTTCGAGAGGAAAAAAAAAGAAGCGGCCTGGGAAGTTTTATACGAGCGCCGCTCGAGAACGTCCCGAAAAACCGCTGTGCCCGAAATACACCGAAGCGGTGAGCTAAAACAAAGTCTTCGGCACATAAATCCGGGAGGTCAGTTTCGGCCGCCCCTCGGGGAATTCAGCACGTTTACGGCGCTGTATACGAGACGAGATGGACCAACGGAGCGCCTGGCATATGGCGCATTCACATAGACTATACAGATGCCTATTCGAGGCGAGATATTGTTTTGGTGGCGTCCTTTTAATGGCTCTCTCTCGTGGCGTCATTCCTCTCGAAACAACAAGCAGGGTGTCTAGCCAATTAGTATTTTGAAATTCCATGACTTTTCCAGGTTTTCCCTGACAATTTCAGGTGAAATTCCCTGACCACTTTATAAAGGCGGTTAAATATATAAGACCGTTACAACGTAAGGCATTGAGCATTGAGAGCATCATTTTGCACAAGCTTAACCGAACTTGCACATTCCGAAATATTCGGGTTCGTCCAGTCCGTATTAAACGAGCACTTTCTTGCCGCCGTCATCGCCAGTGAAGAGGCCACTTCCGGAAACACGATGAAAACACGATGCTCAACCAGACACGTCAATACTCGAAAGGCAGCATGGCGTACACAGCCCTCAGATGCACACTTTCGGATACTTTCAGCTTAATGCCTGGATTGGATTGGGATCTGAGGCTTTCCCATTTGTTACTAAATCTAGCAGCTCTAACTGGATCAAGCCAGGTGTCGTGCCCTCAGTCCAATCCAATCCAAGGCTTGGACTGGATTTGTCGGCTGTTCCCTTTGCATCGGGTAGCAGACTCTACATCGGGTGAGCAGAGCCCGCGGTCCGCTCTGAGCAGAATGTATTGCCTATTTTTCTTCTCCCAAGTCCTTAAGTCTCTGCTTAGGGCACTCGAAGGCGTTTCCGGCTCATTTTCCCTGACTGGGCTCGCTTTTTGACAATATCCCTGACAATTCCCCAATTTTTCCCGGTAATTAAAATTTCCCTGACATTTCCCGGTCGCTAAACACCCTGAACAAGTTCGATGGTGTTTGTAGTGAGCCTGATGGAAGCTTGAAATCATTGCGCTCTGAAACCAGTACTGACAACATCGCGTTGTTACATTATACTCTTACTTCTGTGGATGAGAAATCCTTAGCATTCGGCCCATATCTGGAAGGCAGACAACAGCGAGGCTTTCGATCGCGCGCGCCGTCACTAGAGGAACCAAAATGGCGCATGTATGTGGTTCCTCTATTTTAGAGTAACTGTACATGCTAGCTTTCCAACTGTATGGCGAGAGGAACTAAAGGGCGAAATCATGTATGGACGGTGGTTACTCAAGCCTGCGTCACCATCGCCGCGAGCGCGTCGCGCAGCAGGATCGGAGACCCACGAACGATGACGTCACGCGCAAGCCTCGTCTTCTAGGCGGCGTTCGGATTAACAGAACCAGTCGGACACGCAGGCGTTCCGGGGAACCACATAGTGCTATACGCCACCCACGGAGGGGACAGCACGTGAAGGGACACACTGTGTGGTAGTGGTACTCACTCTGGGGAGTCCTTGGACAGTCCCTGGGCCACCAGCACCACGTCGGAGAAGGACGGGAAGGCCTCCTGACCCTCCAGGCTGCCCTGCGCGGACTCCGTCTCCGGCCGCTCCAGCATGAACGTCGTCTTCTTCAGCGGAACCTGCAGCAGGGACACAAAATATAGGCAACCTGCAATGCTGTTTGGTTTGGCGCCATCCAGCGACTGAAACAAGAAATACTGGGTACCCCTGGGAGTGGCGGCTGCATTGTTCAAACGTGAGCGCTTACTCCGGTGGCGCCGCTTAGCCTAGTGTCTGAAGCAAGAAATACTGGGTATCCAAGGAAGCCGTGATCGCGTAACGTGCCAGTAGAGCGGAAGCTACGGCCCTGGCGGGCCAATCGGAATGTGACTGCGTATCACCGGAGCGCGCCTCAACTCCGGAGAAGTATCAGGCTTTTCGCTGCGTCATGCTCCAATATATGTGCGTTGCGCTCGTATACGTCGCGCATTTCGAAGCGTTCGGCACGCAATGTGGGGCTTATCGTTCACCCTTTTCCAAGTTACAACGAGACAGGGTATAACCACGCGCTCTCACGCTGATGGCGCCGCCTGGCCGTTGCCGGTTGGCTATATAGGAGACCCGGCACACGGTCACGCCAAAGAGGAGGGCCGTATAGCCTAGTGTATACCAACGAAAAACTGTGTCCTTAATTTTTTTTTTTTTAATCCGAAAGCATTAACTGGTCTGATGGAGCGAGCCGACGTCATCAGCTTCGGAACCATGCAAGACGGCACCTTAACGAGAGCACGCGCAAAGCTAGTCAACGGCACCTTTTACACTTCGGTCCCATTGGCTGGCGACGAGGCTCCCATCGGCCGCTGCGCGTCAGTTTGTTGGGTGTCGTCCTGGCTGTGTTATCAGACTGTTGTGTTACCAGTGATCACCGCGTTCGCTCGCCTCTTATCGGTTGTACGGTGCGTGGCAATATACGCGGCGCATGGAATCAACCAAGGGGTTCGTTCAGCGCTGCGTGTCCGCGAGGCAGCGGCTCCATCGCTCCACGCCCAAGGTCAGCGCGTTGTACGCCGCAGATTAAAGAAGGCAGCGAAGAGCGGCGTACGTGCTTTCGCATTCACAACTCATAAGTGCATAGGTGTATTCTTTATTATCCCAATGTTGTTTTTAACCCAGAATGTGTTTTTATCGGACGAATTCCCACGAGGGAACCGTCCTTAACAATTCCGCCACCAAGGACTGTGACGCGGAGTTTCCGAGTCATTTGTATAAATTGACAAACCCATGGGACCCAAAAAAAAACGTCATGTCGTCACGCGTGACGTCACGCGAACCCTGACGTCGTGACGTAACGTGATACCGATACACACACATATACATATACACACACACACACACACACACACTAACACACACACACACACACAGCGTGTGCCCAACTCATTTGCAACACCGCTCCCCGCTGTCTTTGTGAGCATGATCGAGCTTGTGCAATTGCTAATTATTACTCAGGAAGTGTACATTTATTCGGCTACACCGATTTCAAAACCCGCATACTCGACGAGGCTGATACGTTTAGACGCATGTTGTGTACATCCGCTTCTCGTTTATTTATTTTCTTTCTAAACTTCGGACCGGTATATGTTTTAACTGATTCTGAGCTTTCTGGTCTTGCGCAATTCTTTGTTTATATTCTCAAAATTTGTACACAAACTGTATATTTGTGACGAAGGCGTTGGGGAAAAAAATGCAGCTCTAGAGGTTCCAACGCCCCCCCCCCCCCCCCCCCCCCCCCCCCCCCCCTCATGTCTACAGCGGAGGAAATACAAAACAAATATACATATACACGGTGTTTTTTGTTAGATGCACCAAATTTTGAAATAAAGGGGAGAAAACGTATATGAATGCGGTTTTCACTGCATGCTTATATGGCTCGGCGGATATTAGATGAGAATATAACCATTACTATTATGAAAGCAATTAACCAAATTCGTTAAGTAACTGTGTGATTACTGTAATTAGGGTATATGTTTATATTACAAACTTAGAGGCCGTCGTATCCCAAGACTCTTCCGTTTTGCTGCATTCGCGTAACCAGCCCGTGTTCCGCGATGTTCGTCCCCGAATTTCGCACTTTTATCCGGCTAATGTAGCAAAGTTCAGCCACAGCGCCCACTTTCGCGAACTTGCTAGATTGAGAGAGAAAACAAAAAGTCGTCTAAGTAAAAAATTTGGGGGCAGATATCTCGGAACCCACGGGCTGTTTCCGGAAATTCTACAAAATGGAACAGTCTTGGCATACGACAGCCCTCAAAGTTTCTTATATAAACAGTTTCTTATATAAACTTATACCCTAATTACAGTGATTAAGAAGTTAAAATTACCGAATTTCAGTCAATTAGTCTGATAACAGTGAGGATTATATTTCCGTCTCATGTCTGCCGAGCCAAATAAACACACAGTGAAAACCGCATTCACATAACTCCCCCCCCCCCCCTCTATATAAAAATTTGGGGCAGCCAAAAAAAAAGAAAAAGCACGTTGTATACATACATACAAGGTAGCAAGCGCATGATGAAGGCGGAGCCCGAGTTCTTAACCCTTCACCGACTATAAAGTTCTGAGCATGCGCCGTGACCAAGTCCGTCCATCGAATATCTTCCATAATTTTTTTTCTCTTTGTTTTCTTCCATTCCTTTTTCCCCCCCTTCTATGCCGCTGATTTCCGAAAACAATCTCTTAGCGCAAGGCGTCACCAATCGACCTTCATTAGCGGTTTTCCTTCGCACGCTCGACAAGGAAATCCGCCAATGAACCTCAAGAGCCCACTTTTACACATAAACGTACCCGAGCTCGTACACTAATGAGTGATCTGGTCAAGTTCCAGGAGAATTACTCGAACGCTATGCTCGCTCCTTGAAGACTTCCTGTATCGACATTATACCCTCATCGACACCCGGCGGGGCCGACCGATTCGAACGTCTCAATCTCCAGAAACCACGCAGCGGGATTCCCTCCAGAGCTAGACGGCTTCCTCGCTTTTCGAGCCGACCACGCAGAATTATCTTCACACAACGCACATCCGTGCACGCACTTCCGCCTTCTTCCATTACGGCATCGCATAAAAATGTCGACGCCAAACACAAACAAAAGGGTGTATACGCGGAGAGTATGCGCACCGCCGCATTCCCTGAGTGTCTTATGAGCGCTGCCATTGAGGCCTAGTGCAAAGTATATAGAGCCACTAAATAAGCTACGCTTTTTTTAGACTATAACGACACTCCAGCCATCTTATGTGGCTGTAGTTACCTGAAGCTTCGTCTGAAATCGCAGAAAACGTTTTTCCGTTCTTGGGACACGTTAAGACAGTTCCCGACAGAGCGAAACGATATCACCCAAGCTTCTTAACATCGGATCTAAAGCAGAGGAATTCGCACCTCTGAATTGTGACGCTCGACAGTTGGGTTTGCTCAGCACTATAGCATCAAGATGGCGGCGCCCACTAGCAGATCGGACGACGGAGTGCCGATACCTTGAGCGTAGCTCCATCTAATGGCTCTAGTGCAGACCGGGCGCAATCGATGGCATCTGAAAGGCGGATTGTACCTCGGTGGGTACTCTCTTTGGATCGGGTGAACAGAGTCCATACGTAGAAGAGTAGTAAGCTGGGATCAGGACTCTGAGCCTCTGAACATGTTTAACCATGTTCAGAGTCCATATGCTCTGCTCCAGCCAAAAGTAACTATACCCACTAATTGCGTCGCTACTTGTTTTGCTCTCTGGCAGCACCAGTCCTCTAGTCTTCTCTGGGTGGATTCGGCGATCCTCTATAGCTAACGATGCCTCGTTGCGTCGAGAAATGCAACGAGGCATGCCCGCCCGCACACTCTAATGGTGAATTCCGCTCGCAGATCTCGAGCGCTCCAAAAGCGCTCCATTTGGAGCGCGCATATTCCGCTCGCAGATCTGGCTCAAGTTGGTCATCTTCCGCTCGTAGATCTCTGGCAGCGCCCGCTCCACGGAGCGCCCTAAACTCCGCCGAACTTGCTCTGCGGGATTTCACAGATCTCTCCGGAAATTGACAGAGCGGCCCACGTGATTTCCGTCTAAATCGGCGGTGCGCATGCGCGGCGAGGTTGGAGAGATCGGCGGGCCGGTCGGGCCACGGTCGGGTCGTGGAGTTGGATCTGTTCGGGTGCGTCGGTTGTTTACTCTGGACTGTGACGGCTCGAACGCTTCTACCTCGCGTAGATCAGGGATAAAAAGCCGGGAATGTGGAGCGTGGCAAATCGTAAGCGCTGACATCTGTGATCACCGAGGAAGAACGAAAAAAAGAACGACAGAAAAGCCGGAGGCAGACGCAAGGTTAGGCCTATTCATTCTGCAGCCAGTGATTGTTTACCTTTTTACACTGCATTCCATCGGCGTTTTCCCGTGAAATAAAGCAAGAAGTGGTTAGGCAACGACCGCGCAAGTGATGGTTTGTTACCTCTGTGTTTATTAAAGTCGTACTAGCAATCTGAACTCCACCGCTGGCAATCGCTGTCCGTGCCCCGCCGCTTCGAGGCGGCCGAAAGGTATGTGACGGTGCCGAACGCGGACGTCTTCGCTATTTGTGACATGGGCGCCGTGGTACGTATAATTCCACCCGGCCTGTGTCGCGTGTTACTTCTGCAGCTAAGCAGTGACAGTCGTCACTGGTCGTCGGAAAGATCAGCCGGCTGAGGCGTTGGTGGGCTGGTCAAGTTCGAGCAGCGGCCATTTTGAACGGCGGAAGGAGAAGGGGTGGGGAGGGGTGTGGGGGAGGTCGCTCCAAAAATGCAAGTTTATCTTCCCCTCGTCGATACGGAGCGGGTCCCACGGAGCGGAATTTCGCCTCCCTCGCGGATTTTGGAAAGCGCTCCAGATCTACGAGTGGAATTCACCATAAGAAAAAAAGGGTGTAGTCGGGTGCATCGGGCGCACATGCACCCTTTTCCTAAAAGATGCACCCTGCGTTTCCCATCCAGTGTACTTGTACACCGACAATGAGCATCCTCCTCTCCCTTAAAAACCTCTGGGTGTATCAGTGCACCCCCACGCTAGCCGCGCGTCCCGATCAGCTTGTTCTTGGATTCCCCTTTGGGGGTCACTTGTTGGGTTT